TATTCCCCTCATCTACCCTTCTATTCCAGCATGAGATCGTGATAACATTTACTTTTTTCTTCCTCAAATGTATATATGAACTATAACAAGTAACTCTTTATGCATCTCCTAATAAAACACATTTTCTATTTGGTTTACTTCTTATTAATTTATAAGGGTAAATTTCTTACCAAATTATAACAAAAGATACAAGATCCTACTGCAAAATAAAATTTTAATGATGATGTAGATAAATGAGGTTCCTAGTGCAGTTGAACTTAGGGCAGTCCATGTAACACTGACTTTGAAGAATTTGAATCCAATACTGGTCTTAGCCTGAAGGAGTTTGCTATCTAGAATATGAGACCAACTGAAGACAAATCCCATGAACTGTCTTTATTTCCATCCCAAGTCCCCTCAAGTCCCATTCTTCTACAGGAGGGTTCTCTGATGCATGTGGCCCTTTAACACTTCACTTCCATGGTGCAGTATTCCTTATCTGTGACTCGTGAACAATTCATTACCAGGATGACATCTGATATGAATGAATCTTCAAGCAACTCTTACTTTCCAGTTGCTGTGATTAAGCACTTGAGATCTAAACCATGCTGTTCCATAGGAAGCATTAGAAGTTGTGACTCCAAGCACCAAAACAAAGATAGCAAAGATGACGCGCACATTCTCAGAATGAAGTGGAATGCGTATGTGGTGAAACTCCAAGAGTGAGCGAACCAGGCTCCCGAAGGTATTTACTGGTATTGCAGGACAGTAAATGCAATTACTTCGATAGCTGATACATACTTATGTCAACACCACATGTATTTCTTCTGTGTTACTGAGCTAGGACATCACTTTGGAGCCCAGGCTGACCTGCAGCTCCCTTTGAATTTCAGGCTCGCTGTGAACTTGGGCAATCACCTTACGTTAGTTAGCCTCTGAGTATTGAGCTTACGTATGTAAACATCTGTGGCCAACATTGTCTCCCCTTTCCCTCTTCCTCCCCCTCTTCTTGTCCTCCATCCTCTGTCTTCCTCCTTCTCTCTTCTCACCTTTCCCTTTTCCCTCTTTAATCCCTCCTCCTCCTCTTTTGATTTTTTGAGACAGGGTTTCACTCTGTAGACCAACTTGACCAGTTGGCTTTATATTAGTAAGTTGACCAGTAAGTTTTTCATTAATTTATTACTTCGTTGTTAGAGACTTAACCCTGTTCTGGTATGCATGCATGCATGCATGCATACATACATACATACATACATACATACATACATATTGTTTAAATTAGAATAAAAGCTTGCTTCACATGTCAATCTCAGCTCCCTCTCCCTACCCTACTCCCTTGCCCCTCCATCAGCTCCCCAGCCCCCCACCCAATCCCCACACCATTCCCCAGGGAAGGTGAGGCCTTCCATGGGGGATCTCCAGAGTCTGTTATTTCATCCAGGGCAGGGCCTAAGCCCTTCCCCGTGTGTTCAGGCGTAGAGAGCATCCCTCCAGGTGGAATGGGCTCCCAAAGTCCATTAGTACGCCATGGTAAACACTGATCTACTACCCAAGGCCCCAGAGATTGCTGAGGCCTCCTCACTGACACTGCATTCAGGGAGTCTGGATCAGTCCCATGCTGGCCTCTCAACCATCAGTCTGGAGTCCAATAGCTCCCCCTTGTCAGGTCAGCTGCCTCTGTGGGTTTCGCCAGCAAGGTCTTGACCCGTTTACTCATCACTCCTCCCTCTGTCACTGGGTTTCAGGAGTTCAATTCAGTATTAAGCTGTGGGTGTCTGCCTCTGCTTCCATCAGTAGCTGGATGAAGGTTTGACTGTGGGATTGTAGGCTGGGACTCCCCTGATCCATATCTAAAATCCATAGATGAGTGAGTACATACCATATTTGTCTTTCTGTGACTGGGTTACCTCACTCCGGATGGTTTCTTGATACAGGAGACTGCTTCCTGAACATAACACCAGTAGCACAGACACTGAGATTGACAATTAATAAATGGGACCTCCTGAAACTGAGAAGCTTCTGTAAGGCAAAGGACAGTCAACAAGAGCAAAAGGCAGCCCGCAGAATAGGAAAAAATATTCACTAACCCCAGAGGGCTGATCTCCAAAATTTATAAATGACCTAAGAAGCAAGTCTCCAAAACACCAAAAAATCCAATTAAAAAGTGGGGTACAGAACTAAATAGAGAATTCTCTATGGAGTATCCTAAAATGGCTGAGAGACACTTGAGAAAGTGCAGAACATCCTTAGCCATTAGAGAAATGCAAATCAAAACAACTCTGAGATATCATCTTACTCCTTTCAGAATGGCTAAAATCAAAAACGACAAGGACAGTTTATGATGGAGAGGATGTGGAGAGAGGGGAACTCTACTCCACTGCCAGTGGGAGTGCCAGTTGTACAGCCACTTTGGAAATCAGTACAAAGATTCTTCAGGAAAATGGGACTCGATCTACCACAAGACCCAGCAATCCCACTCTTAGGCATATATCCAAAAGATGCACATTCATACAAGAAGGACGTCTGTTCCACTATGTGCATAGCAGCATTATTTGTAATAGCCAGATCCTTCATGCAACCTACATGCCCCACAACTGAAGAGTGGATAGAGAAAATGTGGTGCATTTACACAATGGAGTACTACTCAGCAGAAAAAAAAAAACAATGGAACCCTGTACTGGTTTTATAGGCTAAAACTCGAGAACACTTTTATTCTGCCTTTGCCACATTGCTCTAAGTAATATTTTTAATAAAATAATGAAGGATACTAAATAGGTAGTGAGAACATCTATATTCTATTCAATCACATATAAATACTATATTAGAAAAACATAGGCTTATGTATTATTAAACTCAATGTTTACTCATTCAGTAACCTGAGTAATACTGACTTGTAATATGTATGTGGTTGGAGTAGTTTTAAGTTATTTAATTATGTCTGGGTTAGAATTCTCCAATACCATGCAGCTCTTGTTAAGAATTATAGGTTATCCTTCTTTCAAACTGAATTCTTCAGCCATTTAAAAAAAAAAAAGGTGGGCCAGGCAGTGTTGCCACATTCCTTTATTCCCAACACTCAGGCAGTTCTTGCTCATAGAAGAATGCTTCCCATATTTATACTTCTAGCTTGGTGCAGATCATAAGTTCACCTGTAGTAAAACCTCTGCTTTCCCATGAGCAAGGAAACACAATGGCACATTGTACTGGGATGACCCTGCCTCACTCCAGCCAGTTACTTAGGTGTTTGAAAGTAAAACACAGGTGGGAGAATTAGCCATGGAAATGGTCATGCAAGGAGAGTTATCCTGAGTTACCTGAGTCAAAGTGTCTTACCAATTCCCACAAGGACCTGACTTTACTTCCTGTCCAGTTTTGGTTCCAGAAAAGAATGGAAGGCCTTGAGAAGTGCACATAGGGAACTATAGCCAAACGTAAGAAAAACCAAGGTCATAAAGTAATTAAGAATGGGAGTCACTGTTCTTTATCCCACCTGTTTTGGCCCAAAACAGGGTCATACATCCAGGTAAGATCAACAACAAAAAGGCCACTGCTGTTTGTTCCCCATGTCTCCAAATCTCTCATGTCCAAGCCACTGTTGTTTTTATGTACACAAATGTACATATACATGCGCATGTGCTCACATGTGTGCACCCACCTGCACACGTGCACACAGAGGCATACACACATGCTTGCAAACACACATGCATACACACGTGCATGTGAACACACAAGTGCATGCACACACACACACACACACTCCACTGTGACACTCTCCTCCACACAATGTGGGGAAATGTGACACCAACATGCATCCAGAGTTCCAAGGGCCGAAACTAAACAGTGATAAAGTTTCTCTTTCTACCCTCATCTCCTCTCAACTGTCCAAAAAAAGAAAGAAAGAAAAGAAATAGAAGAGGAACCGCTAAATTTACTATTTCTTACAGAACACCCCAGAACACCAAGGGAGAGACAGAGTAAAAGGAGTAAAACAGGTTTTAGTGGGTTTGTTTTCTGTGTTCCTGAGAATTGAGCCCTGAGCTCACACCTGCTGGATGGACACTCCACTACTGAGCCACACCCTCAGCTTCCACAAATGACAGATTCTTAGGAGGCTATAGTGCACTTAGTATTCATTTGGACTCACAAGCCAGTACCATATCCTCAGTCCTTCTATGCTGGAGATTTGAGCTCTTGGCTTCCTGGGGTCCCTGCAGCACACCTGGCAAATAGGTGGCCTTTCTAGTGTGTCTACTTCTAAGTGATCCTAACCATCTTCTCCCACCTTTCTTCAGCAGCCCACTCCATGTCATTTCTCAGACTTAACTGTCAGCATCCCTCATCTCAATTTCCCAGTGCCCACTTTGCGTCCTAGGCTACCCAGCTGGCTCTGAGTGTGAGTGGCTGCAGCTCTTCCACCTGAAATAACCTCTGGGGGACATATGCTGAGCACATTTACACAGTGTGTCTGGAACACTGTGGGTAAAAGCTGTGACTCTGTATTGTCATTCATGACTTCTCATCTCTGCCGTCTTAGAAACTCACACTTATTTCAGAACCAGTTTACCTGGGATCTGCCCTGAGCATTCTCCAGGGGCGAGCACAGGGAACTTCTCTTCAGAAATGACATAATTGTTGTGGTCCAGATGGAACAGAGCCTCTCCCTCCAGTGGCAATCCCACCCCGTGTCTGTGTGTTCTAGGATGGGCTCCCAACAGGGACTTAATAAAAGACAAGAACCACCTAAAATTATAGGCAAACAGTTGGGAACATTTGAATGACACCCATTTTCTGGGAACGAGGAGCTATCTGCAAGGACCCACGACATCACAGTCTGAAGAATTGCTAAGTGAGGCACAAACTTTCTCTCGCCCACAGGGAATGGGGAAGCCTGCCAGTTGAGGATACTCCTTGTGGGTAAATCTCGCTGTGGGAAAAGCCCCACAGGGAACAGCATCCTCTGCCGACAAGCATTCGAGTCCAGACTCAGAGGCCACTCTGGGACCAGGACCAGGCAGGCAGAGATGGGCACATGGAAGGGAAGGAGTTTCCTAGTGGTAGACACGTCACCCATCTTTGAGTCAAAGGCCCAGAACCAAGAAAAGGACATTGGAGACTGCTACCTGCTGTGTGTGCCAGGACCCCATGTACTGTTACTGGTGACCCAGCTGGGACGCTTCACAGCCCAGGACGCCATAGCCCTGAGGAGGGTGAAAGAAATGATTGGAGCAGGAGTCATGAGGCACATGATCGTCCTCTTCACCCACAAGGAAGACCTGGCAAATGAGACCTTGCATGAGTTTGTGATCCACACTGACAACCACAGCCTGCGCAGCCTGGTCCAGGAGTGTGGGAGGAGGTACTGTGCCTTTAATAACAGGGCTTCTGGGGAAGAGCATCAGGGACAGCTGACAGAGCTCATGACCTTGGTGAGCAGGCTGGAGCAGGAGTGTAATGGCTCTTTCCACAGCAATGACCTCTTCCTTCATGCCTGTGTCTTCCTTAGTAGTGACAGCAGTGAGTACCAGGAAGCCTACAGGTGCTACCTGGCCAAGGTGAGGCAGGAGTTGGAGAGGCAGAAGCAGGACCTGAAGGAGCTCGAGGGCAGCTGAGTGACTAAGATGCTTTGCAGAGTCAACACGTGCATGGGCTCCCACATCACAGCAGCCACCCTTCTTATTGTGTGCAGTTTGATATTTATCGTCATTTTAATTAACTTGTGTATTTCCCGGGGGCACTGAGTCTTTTCAGGGGATTTCAACCATCAGCCCCTCCCCCAGTGTTCACCATCTCTGTCCATGCTGGGCACCTCAGTTCCACTCTCATTGATTCCCTTGAGTCAGACTCGCCAGTTTTCTTCTAAGTAACATGTAAATTGCCAGGTGCTGTGAGAGTTAGAGCAGGTGACAACTAGTGTTCAGATGTCAACCCACCAGAGGAATGGTTATCTGATGGAGGTTAATTGTTGGGGGATGTCCTTCTGTATGTATGCTTCTCTTGTTGGTTGATGAACAAAACTCTGTTTGGCCAGTCGAGGCAGGAAGATAGGCAGGACTAGGACATATGAGGGCATTCTGGGAAAGGTAGGCAGAGAGAGACAGCAAGCATGCATTGGGAAGAACGGATGCTCCAGCTGTTTTCTGATAAGATAAGGCCATGTAGAAACACATAGATTAGTAATTAGGGTTAATAATTAAGAGAGAGCTAGCCAATAAGAAGCCCTAGCCACCAGACAATAATTTCATAACTAATATTGCATCTGTGTGTTTATTTGGGGCTGAAGCTGCAGCAGAACCTGGCAGGGAAAGAGAAACTCTGGCAATGGTTAAACCTGTCCAGGCAAGGCCTGCAGGACCATTGACTCTAGAAACTTGTTCGATTTTGCTAAAGCAGCTTGATGTGTCACCAGTACCTCCATTGTAGTGTGTGTGATATACATACATAATTTCATGATTACATCTCAATTTTATGGGAACATATATGTGGGTAGTTAGATGACTTTTCATTTATCTATATAGTTTTGATATATAGAATATATAGTAGGGCGTGCTTCATAACTACATCTATTTGTCCCATGAGTACTGTAGATGCTTGAAAACCTGCTTTGTTCCTTTTGACTCATATTAACTACACACGATTATCTCACTTTTTCTTCAAAGCAGATTCAAACCAGAATAAGCAGAACATAAGCTTAAAACTACAGCATGCTCAAGATCAGAATCATAGACGTCCAACCAAGGTTACTAAGGAAAGCATACCAATTCTTTGCTTGCCAGTCTTGTTAACAAGAGACCTGTTTATGTCTCAAAGCTCATCTCACTGTAGCTTTCCCCTCTGGTCATGGTCTCACTTCTGTAACCTTGGACCTTTGAGTTGTCATGGCAATAGATCAACTCACTATCCCTTGCCCTAGGAATGTGCTTTTGACCAATCAGAGGAAACTTTTGTATTTTCTTTATTGATTCAAGCCTACTGATAGAAATACAGTTTTGAGACTAGAGAGAGAAGAATCGAGGAGAAGAAGCTAGGAGAAGTTAGATGTAAGACAGGAGAATTAAAGTAGAAACAAGAGAATCAAGAGGCTGTGAAAGTCAAATCTCATGAACAAATGGGAGCTCAAGGACCGCAGTCTGACAGCCGGGGAGCCAGCATAGGACCTAACGAAGCCCCCGAACATGGATGTCAGTGAGGAGGTTAGGGCAGACTATGGAGCCTCTCAGAGTGGAACCATAAATGGACTTTGAGAACCCATGGAGGGTTACTGTCTCAGCCTAGATACATGGGGAAGGGCCTAGGCCCTGCCCCAAATGATGTGACAAATTTTGATGATCCCCATGGAAGCCCTCACTCTCCCTGGGGAGTAGATAGGGACTGTAGCAGGGAGAGGGGTTTAGTGGGGGACATGGGACGATTGGAGGGAGAGGAAACTGGGATTGATATGTAAAATAAGATTGTTTCATATATATATATTGTTTCATATATATATATATATATATATAAGAAAGTAAGGCTCCATCATCTCTGCAATCCAAGAAAGAAAAAGTTCAGTGTGTGTGAAGCATGGGGCTCTGAAGGTATTGAAGAGAATGACGTCAAGAGGTTTGGGCATGAGTGGGGAACTGAGTGAAGAGCTTATATGAACAGTGTAGGTCTCACCCCAGGCAATACAAGATCAGCAGTAAAGAAACACAGGAACCAGAAAGTCTAAGATCAGTGATAAAAAGGGCCAGAAGATGAGTATCTTGGGCTCGGAAGACTGTATAGTGGACAGCATAGCCACTCAAGGACACATGCAGGCAAAAGCCTCTATGATGAAGAGACCGTGTTCATAAAATTTGATGAGCACTGAATTTTAAATTACATATAATTTTCATGTGTGAAGCTATAATAACATCATTCTCCTGAATTCTTCAGCCATTAAAAAAAATAATGAAAGGTGGGCCAGGCAGTGGTGGTGCACGCCTTTAATCCCAACGATCGGGAGGCAGAGGCAGGCGAATCTCTTTGAGTTCAAGGCCAGCCTGGTCTACAAAGCTACACAGAGAAACCCTGTCTTTAAAAACAAAAACCAACAAATACAACAACAAAAAAGGTGAAAATGAGTTGAAGAACTGGCTCAGGGGTTAAGATCACATAGTTGTGTTCTAGAAAACCAGAGTTTGAATCACAATATCCACACCAGGCAGTGCAGAGCAGCCTGTGATTCCAACTCTGTGTGATCCAATGCCCTCTTCTGGCCTCCACAGGTACTGCACTCACATGTGCACACTTCCATACAGACACACATCTACACACACCAATAAAAATAAAGTTAATCTGTTCTAAAAATGTGAATATCAGGTTGGGAAGATGGATTTGGGGTGGTGTATATAGTGCCTGTCAATCACGTGTCCATATCAAACCCAAGATCAGTGGTGCACATTTGTAATTCCAGAACTGGAGGGGAAGGGAGACAGGTAGACACCAGGGCCTCTCTGGCCAGTCACTCTAGTGGAAAAGGCAGCTACAGGATCAGTGAGATAAATGCCTTGGAATAAGGCTATCCAAGGAAATGAAAGAACTCTGCAATGAAAATTGCAAAACAGAGAAAGAAACTGAAGGAAACAGAAGATGAAAGGGTTGATCATACTCAAGAGTTGGAATAATTAATATTGTGAAAATGTTAATACTGCCAAATCCAACCTATAGATTCAACACAATCTTTGTCAAAATTTCAGTGTCATTCTTCAAAGAAATAGAAAAAAATCTTAACATTCCCATGGAAGAAAAGAGATTCCAGGTAGCTATAGAGTAATTCTGAGAAAAAGAGCAGTGTTAGGGGGGTATCACCAACCTGATTGAAATTACATTGCAAAGGCATAGTAACAACAACAATAATACCCCCACCAAAACCAAAAACATGGTATCAGCATAAAATCAGATATATAGATCAATGGAATAGAGGACCTAGACAAAAACCTGTAGTTGTTGGGTTTTTTTTCCTTTACTCTTTGGGGAATCCACCAGCCAGCTCCCAAATAATTATATAGAGACTTATTTTTTGTTAAGAATGTCTGGTCTTAACTTGGCTTATTTCTAGTCAGCTTTTCTTTTTAATACTTTATTCATTTTTATTTTATGTGCATTGGTGCTTTGCCTCCATGTATGGTTGTGTGAGAGATTTAGATCTTGGAATTACAGACAGTTGTTTAGGTGCTATATCGGTGCTGGGAATTGAACCTGTGTCCCCTGGAAGAGCAATCAGTGCCCTTAATTAGTAAACCACCTCTCCAACCCCAGCCACGTTTTCTTGACTTAAATTATCCCATCTACCTTTTGCTCTGGGCTTTTTTCTTCTGTATTCTGTATACCTTTCTTTTTTTATTACTTCAAGGCTTGCTGTGTAGCTGGGTGGCTGGCCCCGGCTTTCCTCTCTCCTCCTTTTTCCAAATGCCTCCCTCTTCTCTTTTTCTCCTTCTATTTGTTCTCTCTGCCCGGCAGCCAGTCCATCCCTCTCCTGCCTAGCTCTTGGCCATTAGACCAATTAGGCATTTTAAATGGGCAAAGTAACACAGCCACACAGTTAAACAAATGAAACATAAAAGAACACATCTTTGCATCATTAAACAAATATTCCACAGCATAAACAAATGTAACACATCTTCAACTACTATTCCACAACACAAACTCACACAGGTATAACCATGTCCCTTTTGACAGAGATACAATAAAATACATAATAAGAGAAAAGATAGCACCTTTAACCAATGATGCTGGAAAAGCTGTGTGTCCTTGTGTAGAAAAATAAAGTCATACCCCTGTCTCTCAATCTATGAAAATCAATTCAAACTGTATCACCTTGATTTAAGAACTGAAACTGTTGAAAGAAAAAGTAAAGAAAGTACTACAAGTTTCAGGTAAGGAGTTTCTGAAAGGGCTCTACTTACTCTGGAAAGGATGCCAACAATTAACAGATGGATTTTTATGAAATTAAAAAGCTCAGTACAGTATTAGAAGCAACTCACTGAGTCGAGACAGCCTTCATAGTGAGGAAAAAACCTTCATAGACAATTCTTCAGTACATGAGACTGGATGTCTCAACTGGTCTTGAGTATAGACTGGGATTCAGAAGAAGCAGGCTATAATACCAGTGAACAAATGGCCTTGCTAGGTGAGCAACAGGCCTAGCAGACAAAGAGAGTGCTTCCGTTTTACATGTCCTTTATATAGGATGCTAGCAGAAGGTCTGGTCAAGATTAAAGGTGGTCTTCCCAACTCAAAGATCCATATTAGATCTAAATTAAAGAATTTAATTAAGAAAAAAATCCCTCATCGGTGTGCCCAGCAATCTGGGTTTCATTTCATTCTACATGTAGTCAAGTTGACAACAAAGAATAGTCAACATAGGCCTCAAAAGGAATGCCTAATGACATAATCTTAGAGTCTTTGGTGGATCAAAACACTTTTTGGAACTAATGGATTTCTAGATACCCCTCTACATATGAAAGTGGCTAGAGACCAACTTAGGAAAAAACACAAATAAATTTTGGGTCCTTTAAGTTCTGATATCAAATGTCACAACCCAGCATTTACCCCAGTAACTTCTTTTCACACTGAAAATGCTTTTAGCTCC